TGAAACCTTGTTCCAAATCAAGCTCTTGCAAACTCTGATCATCTATGATACTGTCAGGTTTCCAAACCAAGACATCTTGACCTCCAAGACGCATCTTCACAAAATCATGCTCATTGCCTCGATTGAAACAAACAGAATCAAGAGAACCAGAAAACATTTCTGGAGACGTTGCCGGAGCAAACGACGCTGGACCTTCAAGTGTACCCAAACTCGCAACCAACACAGGCTCACCACTACCAACCCAAAACCAATCAAAATCCATGTTTGTTTGAAGCAGTTCCTCAGAATCTTCACGGATCTCTCTTTCCAACTGTTCTCGGTCGGTTTCAGCTTTCCTTTTAAACCTTCTAGTGTACTCAACCTGTGTTTCCGGCTGTCGCCGAGCGGACTCAGGTGTTGGTACCAATTCTTCATCATCGACCTCTTCTACTGGCACCTGAACCTGGGGTACAACAACAGGGCTCTCCTGAGAGAGTGCCGGTTCAACACGTCTTTCTTTTCTCCGTTGTTCCTCAAACTCAGCAAAACGCTTCCTACATTCCTTATTGTGCCTAATACCAGGTGCTTCCATGCCACTCTCACATGCTGGACATCGACGAGTCGGTTCAAAACGTGATACGTCAGGTGAAGTTCTTTCAGGACTCTCAGGACTACCAATAGCTACATCTGCAGTATCTGCTGGTGACGTAGGAGATGGAGTGACAGAAACTCGAGACGGCTCTGCTGGAACTTCCTGTGGAGTCACGACAACGTTCGATCTTGCTAATGGCACTGCTGGCGCCAAACGCAGCTCACCAGGTTTCTTCTTCACACTGCTGGACTCTGGCAAGACAAGTTTGGGCTGTGAAGGTGCCGGCAAACTCTGGCCTTTCAACTTTCGCAACTCTTCAGGAGGTAGCTGACTCATATCAGCTGGTGCAGTCCCACTGTCATTCACAATTTGGGGTCTACTACCTACAGTCCCAGTATCAAATTGAGTCAAAACTCCCTGTCCCGAATTCAAATCCCATCTCAAAGGTGAAATAGCCCTGATGTTCCTAGCTACAAAACGCATCAACTCAGCTTTGCCATCCACACGAATGAGACCCTGCACAACTGGACCTCGTTCCAAACCCATGTGAATGAAAGTACATTCAACATTCCTCGTGGAAAGTGGTGAATGCTGCCGAATTGAATCAGGAATCTCTGCCAAAACCTGAGCACCAAACAAAGTCGAAACTGGTTTGGATAACTTCCTTCCTGAAACCATTTCCAATGGACTTCTGTCCGAACCTCTCGATGTCGAAAAATGGTTGTTGCACAAAGCCAAATACGTCAAAACATCAACCAAATTCTCATGTGAAAACGTGACATCCAACCCTTGTGCATTCAGATCAGCTCTCAGTACAGAAAAGGATTCCTTTAATTCCCTAACTGCTCGCTCAGCCGACCCAATTGATCGATGTTGTTGTGGCGAGGCTCTCCGAACAGCGAACGTATATCGGCCAGTAGAGGATCCAATGATCTCTCCCACTGCCCTCTCGCTATCGGTGCGGACGTCAATGGAGACTGCCTTCGAAGTCAACCCAAAATGTTGAAGCCATGCAACAATCTGTCTCCTGGCTGCTTCGACATCTTCTCCAACCACCACATAGCCAATGCACCTCGACATCATCTCGGTTAACACAAGGATCTTCACCGAACCTGGGAGTTCGTCTGTGGCGATCTCGCCTGATGTCTTGAGGAATGCAAAATCGGCCTGAATAGAAACCTCTTTCCTGTCACCCTTGTCTCTTCTGTGCTGTAAAACGGAACGACCCTTGGCACACTCCAAACAATTCGGATTGAATGGTATATGTCCCTGTCTCCGGTGACGTGCCAGTTCACTGTCGTCTCCTCCAGACACAGCTGCGACAGAAAAGTCATGAGTGTTACTCACAATCAAGTCAGACCTGTATGCACTACTACTACCAACATCGGGATACAAACGAACCCAAGGACAATTGGCAAAATAAGCAACATCAAGACAATGCATTCCGAGCTTCTCATGAAACAAATCAAAACCTTTTGGACCTTGTGTGAATCTCCATCCCGAATCTGCCAATGAAGTAATTGACAAAATGTTGTGCCGGATGGAACCCACCAAAACATTCAAACGTGCTTTCTTCCAACACCAACCATCACCTGATGTGCCTGACATGTGCATCTGTACTCCAATCTCAGCAGTGCCTGACATGTTGACTGAGGATCCATTGGCAGCTTTGTAGCCACCTAACCCCTCACTGTCCTGCAGCACTGACCTGAAGGCTGACAAGTTCGATTCAGCCAAAACACTTGTGGATGCACCAGAGTCAAGAAGCCACCAAGAAGCATCGGTGTTGTCAGCGACCTGTGAAAGCAGAGGTCGCAAAAACTCAAAATAAGGTTCGATCTGCTGTTCAACCGAAACCTCACTGTGGTCGTCAAACCAATCATGTGCACGCACCAAAACGACTTTCATCGGTACAGTGGCACACAAGTCTCGGCTGGGGTCATTAACAAAACATGTTTCTAAGTTGGAACTGTCACCAAGTCCAACCTCATCTCCACACTTCAAACCACAAAACCATGGCTCATGAGTACAGCTGTCGCAACCTCTTGCCAGCACACAACCCATGTCAGCCGCTTCAACTTCCTCTGACTCATGAGTACAGCTGTCGCAACCTTTTGCCAGCACACAACCCATGTCAGCCAGTTCACTTCTCACTACTTCTGACTCACAAGTACAGCTGTCGCAACCTCTTGCCAGCACACAACCTGTGTCAGTCAGCTCATCTTTCTCTTCTGACTCATGAGTACAGCTGTCGCAGCTCTCTGCCAGCACACAACCCATGTCAGCCAGTTCAACTTCTTTTGACTCACGAGTACAGCTGTCGCAGCTCCCTGCCAGCACGCAACCCGTGTCAGCCAACTCACTTTCATCTTCTTTTTCTGACTCACGAGTACAGCTGTCGCAACCTCTTGCCAGCACACAACCCGTGTCAGCCAGTTCACTTTCAAAGTCTTTGCAATCAACCACAAGCCTATTTTCGGTTTCCATGTCAGCAACCTCATGCTCATGCACAAACCTAAGACCTCCAGTGGTTTCACATGTCATGTCAAACAACAAAGGATTTATGATCATGCTGCCGACACTGCCAGTCTTTTGGACATCAGACTTATTGTCGTGACTTGCACTCGGTTCCGCACTTTGGACTGGTCCCTGTTGCCAGGTATACCCATACCCGTCGCAATACCATCCAGAACCATCGTCCCATTTGTAATCTGCTGCTTTAAGGGGGGGATATATGGTGTTGTCAGGTCGACCCGGGTCTTGGATCCTAACGGCAGGGGTCAAAGCTGGATGTCATGACAGTTCTGCACGTGAACCTTCCTGTGATCTAGCAAAATGATCAAAATGCAACTTTGTAGAACTTTTGGAATCATCCAAAAAATCTAGACAGAGATGGATTCAAAGGAGATTTGCTTGGGTAGATAGATTGATACATGTTAGAACTGGTAGAATGTATTTGGAATCAATTGGGGATCTTCCCTCAAGTGAATTTGACGATTCATTTTGAAATTTTGGAAAGTAATCAGTAATGAACGGTATTTGTACTGAAAATATAGATGAGATAACGGTAAGATTCTTTGATTTGAAATAAACTTGAAACTAATCAATAGTATCAGCATCCGATGCACAACGCACATTGCATACTTGAAAGTGTGCCACGTCCCCCTGGCCTAAAAACCGTTTGTTTAGTCCTTCTAGTCTGCCTAGTATTTGTTGAGACTTGCTGAGTAAGCCTACAGTTTGGTGAATTCAATGTCATTACCGTCCGTGCGGTCGTTAGTCGTTATCTTTTCTTGGTTGTCGTGGGTCAATGTCAATGTCTCACACCCAGAGACTCACTGTCATCACTTTCATCACTGTCATCACCAAGGTGATTCCGTGATTGGTTCATCCATTCATCATCGCATCCCTGGGTCAAACGTTCTTTTCTTTTTTTGCAAGCTGCGACACTGCTGTCACAAATGTCACACTGCCATGCTCGGCCCTCTGGCCCTCTTCCACTCATCCGCATCGTGAACATAGTGTCACCAACTTGGCTCCTGTACAAGACACTATATCACTGCGCTGCCCCTGCACTGCTCTAAATCGCAAAAGCAGGCTCGGCCAAGCAACAGTTGCCTGGCAAAAATAATAGTATAGTACTCAGGAACTGATGGGGCTTAAATGTAATCCGTTTGAATTAAAGGTTGAGGTTCACCGTTGGCCCATCCAACGGTTGAAACAGCAGCTCCACTGTGCGCTGGATCGATCTTCATACGCAAAAAAGTGTCAGAGCTGGCAACCACATATCTGTGCATGGATTACGTGCCCCCTATCGTCATAATATGGTACGACCTCGCCTTCGCCTCTCAATCTTGATTGAGTCCGTCGGTTTATGACTCTGGCTCTTCTCACGGTTTTTTGTGTCAAGTCAAAAAGTCAATGAACCAACAGAATCAATGAAATCATGAGTGAAGAATGTGACCCATGTGTGCGCTTCGATTTTTGATGACCTTCTGTCTCAGAATCTACAGACATGTCTGACATGTCCTGAACCTATGTTTGTTGGTTCTATGTAGGACATAGGTTAACCTAAATGAATTCTTGTAAGGATTGTAGCGAATGAAGACTAATTAACTACGATGTTGCGAAAAACACATCAATAAATCAAATCTAATAGCAAAACCAGACCGAACCGACCAAACCGACCGGACTGATCAAGGAAACAAGATTTACCACAGAGGCCACAGAGGCCATAAGACTCAAAAATGCGACGCTAGGCACTGCAGCGTGCTGAGTCGCTAGGCCAAAGAAACCCGGCACTGAGATTGAGCACGAAAGGTAAATGGAACAGTGGAACAGCACGTTATTAATACATAGCATAGCCCATAACACGCTGTACACAGTCAATGGTCGTGAAAATTCTGAAATTTTGAGTGCATAATACGACATACATACTCATTTCTCAGATCAAGATTGTTGGTCCGTTGCAATTCAAAGTAACTACAACTACCTGAGCAAATGGTCGGCGTTCTTCAACGCCTTCTTGGCTGCTTTACTTTGAGCCGGCCCTGGCTGCTGCCCGTCATCTGCCTCAGACTTGATCAGGTTGGCACGTAGGGCACCAAATCCAAGCTTGTCCATCACCTTTCCGAGCTGGCGGATGTGGCTGCTGGATCCAGTGCCTTCACGAAAAGATCCCCGAGTCAACCTTAGAAACGGTACCGGGTGAACGGTGAAATGGTTAGGAATATCAGTCTTGTCAGAATGGTGTCAGTCAATCACATCTGATCTCAAGTTTCATGTCGACTGCTGCGTCGCTGACACACACACACACACTAGACAAGAACTGGATCATTGAAGTGATCCGTTGGGAACTGAATCCCATCACATGCAATTAGAAAGTAGATCTAGTAGATCTCCTTGAAGTGGTATACGAATAATATGAAGGAATTCCGATATAGTGAATCACGATCAGATACAGGTTCAAGTAGACCCCAAAATAGAAGACCATCGATAAAAAAGATCCGGACCAGATACTGGATGAAATATCCCAGGAAACAGATTGTGGAAACCGTGCAGAACCGAGACAATCTTGGGAAACTGATCCAAAAAGTCTAAATAAGCCCAGATAAGTTTTCGCAGCAGGGTTCTCGGCTTAGCCCTTCGCCATGTCCGTGCAAAATCTGCATTGGGGTTCTCGGCTTAGCCCCTTGCCATTTCAAAAAACCAGAATCAAAGTTGCGGGCACGTTTGCACCCCCATGCTGTCTTGTCTTCGTTGGCCAGGACAGACAGTCATGGGTTACTAGCCCCCTGCTTAATTGAAAAATCATCTGCATTCTGCATGTTTGAAAAATAGAGTGAGCCCTAGGGAGCACAACCGATACAGACATGGAAGTTTTATGTCTCTACTCTACAGACGTTTCACACACACACACACTGACACACCAGCACCAGCATCACCGTCATATCCGTTCAACCATTGATTCATTCACATGAGTCACATGAATGAGTTCATTCAGTCATGCATTCGTGAATCTGAAATCCGGAATTCATTTTCTCGACTCGATCCCTCTTCGACTCGATGACGACAGATTTGTTCAATGCGTCGGCTTCGTGTCGCTCTGTGTGTGTGTAATGCATGGTGTTAAACGATCAACATGTGAAAATCTGAAACCGGACCCGTGAAACCTGAAGCCGTGTTGAGTTTGTCTGTCAAGTCTGTCAAAAGGTCAGAAAACTTGTCAGAAAACTAACGTAAACTCTTCGCTTCTCGCCGTATCTTGCCTTGATACTTACCTCAAGCTCTCATGGATTTGGTGGTACATTGCGGTGGTACAGTGGTACAGTGATTTTATACCCAGTCAACTTAACTCTTATCCTGATCATTGGTAGCTTGACCACTTAACCAGGCCCCATGCCCCCACGGTAATGTGCGAGGGCCGCGGACTCATGGACCACAAAGCGTAGAATGAAAAAAATGCCGTCAAGATACTCTGCAAATGGGATATTGTCCCCGGCCTGCTTCAGATCCCCGAAAGGATGCGTAGGCATGAGACAAGGTGCCTGGATTGAAAGCGTCTCCTCCTCCTCCGCGTCATCATCAACATCAAGAACCTGCGAAGCAACCTTGGCTACCTGACCATCCTTGGTTGCATTGGGCACCTCGGTCGTCTTTTCAGGAGAATCATCTGAAATCTCCACGGCTTGGTCTTTCTTGGGAGTCTGATCTTTCTGACGGTTCTGATCCTTCTTCTTCTGGTCCTTCTGCACTATGTTTTTTCTAGGCATCCATGACTCTGGTTTGCGGACATCAAGTCGAATAGGACCCAAAGCGAGAAAAGGGTCTTTGGACACCGACTTGACGGACCACGCAGGCACAAATTGATCCCCACCAATACACTTGTGAGAATCTCCAGTCACATATATGACGACCTTCAACTCAGATTCTTCTGCATCCCAGGAGACACCCTCCGTAGAACGCGCGGCTGGGGTCATCTCCTTGCTCACTACCTCAAAGTGTTGGCGAGAAAAGCATGGAATTGAATCATGAAAGGGACAGAAGGACGCGACCTGGCTGAGATGCACAGGGACTGATAGTAGATATCAAAGGAGAACGGTTTTGAAAGGAATAGGATCGCTGAGCATCAACGGCATCATCGTCGATGAATCATCGATGAGTCAGTGTCAAATGAGTTTGAACATATGCAACGAGGTGACTTGACTCTTGACATTGACACAGTGAAAACCTTGAGGCAGAGGGTATAGTATAGTAGTTGCGCACTTGCAAGTGCAATAATCCTTGGAAACTTGATTTATAATTTATAATAGGAACCAACAAACAATCAATCGCATCAATCCCTGAGGTCCTTGAAACGACATGAGATGAGATAAGATGACAAGTGACAAGTCACAGTGACAAATTGCAACTGACAGTCATGGCCTGTCCCGTCCGGTCCCCGTTTGCACAAACCAGTCAGAACCAGTCACCAGACCCAAACTGCAGCCTTGACACGCAAAGTGGCAAGGAATGGTTGGAAGGGGTCAATGAGACAGTCCCTGCCAGTGGCAGGCAGAAGTCCTGCTCCTTGGTCAGCTCACATGGAAATCTGCACAAGACTGCAGGTGACGGCTTGGAGATGTCAACGTAGATATCTTCCATGTGTTTCCTGGATTCATACGAATAAGCCCAACGGAAAATTGCTGCCTGCAATTCCGTCATGATCTCTCGAATTGCCACAAAGTCAAAGGGAACATGGTCTGGAAGGGTAATTGTTGTGGGTTCAAAGACATTCGCACCACCTACTGGAGAGGCATCCAAATTCCCCGAAGCTATGTGGGACAGCATGCTAGCATCCGAAGGCACGAACCCTAAGACTTCAGTCAGACTCTTGTGCGTCATCTCCACTTCGGCAGTCTTGTCAGCCGACTTGGCTGCAGCTCCTGGCACTGCGGAATCTTTAGCGTTGCCGTTCTTTGCTTGTTCCTGCAGGCGGCAACCCGTGGGCCCGGTGGGCTGGGCCAGCAATATAATGAGGTTCGGAAAGACCAACAAGCAGTCAACAAGCATCAACAAATCAACAACTAAGTAACTAAGAACAATTAACTACCAACCTGTAGCCTTGTAACCAATCAAACCAACCAACTTGCTATTTCTGAGACACAGTCACAGTAACAACACTAACAACATTCAACAGCTACTGGGCTTGCGAGTTGTGAACTGGTACCAGGTCTGAAAAAAATTGTCATTGCCATGCTCTTCGTAGACTCTGAGTTCAAAACTATCCTTTTCTCTTGTACGGGCCGGTGTTGTGGAGCGGACACGGGAGCAGAACACAGTCGGAACTCAAGACTCAGGACGATGAATTGAAGTCCCGTCGAGTCATCGCAGTCATCGCCGTAAGTCAGATAGCTCAAACCAAAGCAAAGCCGTAAAGGCCGTAAGGGTCAGCCATGCCATGGTAAGCAAACAAGACTGGCCTGCTGACGATGGTGGGAACCAGGAACCGACTTCAGTTATTCAAACTTATTCAAATTTAAACTTTATCCATAATCATCGACATATATTCATATTGGGCCATGTAGGTCATTTCATTTATTTAAGAAAAGACATTGTGCCTTGTGCGCCTTGTGTGCCATGTGCAAAGCATTCCAAGCATGTATAATCATGTGTAAATCTGTTTTGTGTTGTGCATGCTGCGTATATCAATATGTCACATATATCAAATATACTATAGCTACGCTACAGCTACTATGATCCATGGGTGCTCTAGCCCAGCAACAATTTAGAGAGTGTGGACTAGCCTGGCCTTCGCCTTTAGCCATGTAATCGAAAAGGAATACGACGCTTCTACAGCTATATTACAACATCTCAATGCTTGCTGATTCAGCCTGGCTGTGGCCATGATGCTGATTCTGATGATGCTGATAGGAACGGCTACTCGCTGCTCGCTAGTAAGTAATCAGCCAACGGGCCAACAGAAAAAGGCAATGGTAAACGGTAAACTGGTAAACAAGTAAACATGCTTAATTAACACACATTGTTCGATGTCCGTACTGGCAACTGATATTACTTGAAGAATTAGAACTTGGCATTACAGTGAATTTGGCGCGCAGCGTATGTATAGTGACATATAGGCGTATAATCAACTCTGCAAATATGTTTCCTTCAAGGTAGCCTTAATCTAAACGTAACCTTCCCACGATTCTTTTATGTGTGGTTGTGGTTCCGCTTGTCCAGCCACCAACGCGCCATCCAGGAATGGCCAATGGTCACCGCCGTATGGTCACCATGAGTCGAGTTGAACTGCCAGATCGACACCGTGCAGTACAGCCCGGCAGTGTTTCACGCACTCGCCGGGTTTAAACGTAAGACTGCAAAAACAAATTGTCATATCCAGCCGCCTGTGCTAAGGTACCGGGTACCATTTACCTCATTTCATATCATCAATGTTTACGTGTACACTGGACGATGTGCACCCTTTGGCACACTGTGTCACAAAAGTTGTCTGACGTAGACACACCGGAATCTGACGCACCACTATTACAGCTGCTTTGAAACAGCTGCATCTGCAACGGCAAGTGCTTAGCAGGGATGGTGACCACAATGATCAGTTGATCAAGTCGAACACTAAGTTGATGACTAGCACTTGGCAATGATTTAGTGGCTATCAGTCTATCAGTGGTTATCCAAGTTATCCGTGGTTACGGGTTACCGGCTACAGTCGTGTGGTGGTAAGTGGTAGAATCACGTTGTACGTCCATACCAGGTGGAAACTTGAAACGTCAACATTATTGTGATGGTGGGCAATGGTGGGCCGACTGATAGGTCTTGACCAGTCTTTGGGGAGGTCAAGACGTTTAAGTTTAAGGGTTTGAGTTTCAAACTTTGAATTTTGATGAGATAGGAGACCGAGATAGGCGATAGGAACTTCAGGACTTCAGGAACCCAAAACATGCCAAAACATCAAAACATCAGTTAACAATCGCACACTTGAAAAAATGAAACTGGCTCCCCACCTTTGAAACCCAGTGTGAATTTCTCAACAGTGTATGGAGCCCCACACATGATGTTTAATGCCAGTTTATGTTGACTTCATTTTGGCTTCAGTGGGTTGATGAAAAATCTCATAACAATGAGTGGCCGGTAAGGTCCGGG